CCTGGGGGACACCACTGGCCACAGGCCTCCAACTGGACTCGGCTCCTCCAAGCTCCAGGTTAACTGAAGCCCACTGCATGGGGTGAGGAGGTGTAGGGAGCTCAGCTGAAGCTCTGACCTTTTGTAGTCTTTCCTTTCTGGCATTTGGCTCCTCTTCTTATTTCTGTGGGTAGAAAGAAGAAGAAAAAGTAATATTGTTAATTAATATTTTTCAGGTTTTTATTTGGAATTTGCTTTTAGGCTTATCTGGGATTTGCCCCCACAGTTAAGGGGGGGTGCAGGGGAGCACACAGCAAGATCTATCACAGTCTTATCACAGTAAAAATATGTATATGTTGATGAGTCATGTATACGCTTGATATAAAGATAACGGGCAGCGGTTTATTTTGGGTTAAGAGCAGTGCAGTGTGTCGGGGCTGCAGTGCCTTGGAATGCGTTTGCTGAGCGCAGGCGTTGCAGGAGCGACGCGCTGGCAGCTCCCGGGATTTCGCATTCCCCGCTGCTGAGCTCAGGGCTGCACCGCGTCTCCGCTGAGCCGGCCGGCACGGCGCGTGCACCCCTGCCAGGGAAAGATGCTCTGCCGCGGGGGAACCGCGTTACTTTGTCTCGGTATCCTTGTGTTCAGCTGGGCAGAGGCTGTCATAAGTAATGCCAAGCCTTGTTCATCTAAGGTAAGATTTTCAGTTACGTTGCTGACAGAGATGAGGAGCGTAACCGAGTGTTTTCTCCKAACAGCAGCAGGTGTTTCCAAAATCTGGGTTGCTTTACTCAGGTCAGAGATGAAAATCTAGAAGAATCAGGTATTTTCAGGTAGAAGAAGCTGCACTGGAATTGTAGCCATGCCAGGAGCAGAACGTTTTTGTCTTAATGTGCTTCATTCTCAGCTCAGCTGCTGGGCCATGTTCTTATCTCACCTGCATCAGTGCAGGCGCAGGGCAACTCGGTTGCCTTTGGCAGTGCYGTAGTTTTTACTTGTATTGCCAAAGTCAAGTTTAATTGTCTGCCTCATGTCTGCTCTTTTTAAAAATACAAGTATTGATTGAAAACATTTGCTTGACAGTATTTAATTGAACATCTGGTGAGTAGCTGTGATAAAGCCCTGGAACAAAACTTAATTTCAAGTTTGTTTCTATTTATAAGTTTCTATTTGTAAGTTTCAAGTAGTTTATTTATAAATTACAGATTTTTTTCTTCCTTTATATTGTGCTTATTTCAAACTTAGAAAAACAGACTCTTTAAATACTCTGGCATTTATTTACAAAATAAGGTGCAACTAAAGTAATAAGAATTTTTTGGTAATATCTCCTTGTTAACATTACTTTCACTATTTAAAAGCAAAAATCAGGAAAGAAGTGTTCAGTGCTCTGCCAGTGTAGTGCCAATACTAGAAAGAGGAATCTGAAGGAGGAAATGGGCACAAGTATGTTAAAGATACAACCAAGTCTAAGTATTTTTTCTTTTTCATGAAAATCTTGGTTTACAAGGGTTCTGTTTACACTGAAAACTACTGTGTACACACTGTGTATGGTGCTTTGCTGAGATTATGTAATTAAAAAACTCCAAATGTTTCATAACATTTTCTACGATGACACATGTTTCAGGAATTACTTTTARTGTTTGTTTATGTGATGACTCAAGAACATTTCCTTGTTTCTTTCATAGGTTTGTCACATATCATTATGGAAGAAAAATATTTTAAAATTTGAAATATTATTTTAAAACAGCGTTAAGAGATGTAGTGGTTTGAAACTACTTATACCACTATTTTATTATTACCATTTCATGTCATAGCATCTCCATGAATAATGTCCCCAAAGCAGTTAAGATATTTTTTATATGTTCAGTTTGTCTGCAAGTCTGCTTGGGCAGGCTTGTGTGCACAGATTAAAAACAGCTGCAAACATTTCCAGTGGAGCTGTTTTGATAATATGTAGTAATGCAAAAACCTGCTCCCTTCCAGTGCAAATAACTTTGTTAACCTTTGAGATGTCCGTGGGGTAGGGTTTTATGCAAAATGAGAGCTTCCTAAATGCAAAGTGCTTGAATTTCAGGCCTCCAGCTTACAGTGCTCAGAGATACAACACTTTAGGAGAAGTGTTAGCAGTATTTTTAGAGCTTATAGAGGTTACACTTCACCTCTGACATGCTCTTGTGAGTTATGGCTAGGGAGAAGACATCTAACAGGACTCAGTCCTGCAGCTGCTTAGCTCAGTCAATTATTGCTTATAAAGTTTTTTTTTTCTTTTTAATATAAAAGGTTTTGAAGGAAGACCCGCAGAGTAATCTGCTTTGTTTGGGCAGATTGAGCAATTTTATTTCTGTTTTATGATCGATTTATTTCCCCCTCCGTTGTTTGGTACAACAGGGCACAAGGAATGTTGGAGCTATGGAAGAACCGCTCAAGGCAGAAGAGAAAAATAAATCTGCAGATATTTCAAATCAAAAAGAACAATGCCTTGTACCATGTGATGTTCAAGCTAAAATTTTACGAGGGGAAAAACATTACATGTGCAGTATGTATTCATAAAGAATACTCTCAACGACAAGCTATGCAATGCCATGCTATGTAATCCTTTGCTATGCTATGCTACGCTGTGCTAATTCCCTTTTTAATCCTCCTGAGCACATGCGACAGCCTTTGACCCAGCTGCTCAGGATGAGTATTGGTCAAAAGAAGGGTACAATGTAGGCAGCCGAGGTGATAAAAGCAAAGTATAATCATGCTAGTCTCTCTTTATAATCTTTGGAGGCAAATCCAAGCAGCAGCTCAGCCCACCTAGGTCTCTGTTGYCCTCGGAATGTCTGTAGCTCTCTCCATTGGAGAGGAAGAGCAGGGTGCCTGCCCCTCATTTAGGCATCATAGTTAGATGCTTGAAATTAAGTGGGAGGAAGTCTGTACTTCAGCCTGCCCTTTATCAAAAAGATGTGTTAATATTTTCTGGTCACTGCCTTGACAAACTACCCAGCAATTGATGCAAATAGACTCAGAATAATTTAATAGAAGTCTTGTCTTTACCATATAATATTAATGTGTATTATTAATTACCTGTCAATCTCACTTTTGTATTTGAAAGGAAACCTAACAAATCTCTCTCTTATCATTTGCATTTGTATTTCTATAGTATCTATTTACTGGTTATCCAGTTAGCCCAAGGATAAGGCAAAATTCTCCTTTGTAGAGACAAACCTTCAGAAGAATCATCATGTCTTCACTGCARCCAGTGAGTCTGAGGTTCCAAGCATCTTTGGATTTAATCTGTGATTTCTGTACTACTTAGGTCTCACTTTAGGCATCCCRAAGTTAAGCATGTTTAGTATTATCTTAGACATCATAAATAAGCATGCCACTTACTCAGTATGGAATGCTTCTAAATTTATGTCAACAAAGTGGATGACCATATTTCTTTTATAGGAAATTTGCAGAACTCCCTAGTTGAATATGCAAGAAGTACAAAAAAAATGATAAGAAACATGATGGATGATCAACAGTCTTCTTTGGATTACCTTTCTAACCAGGTACATTTTTCATTTATCATACAAACTTGTGTTTATTTACCAATACAGTTATTTTCCAACTGGAGAAAATTATTTACAGTGTTATTGAAACAGTAGAATTAGGACCCCACTACTATCCTATGTACTTTAGGTAAGGTATATGTGTGGTTTCCACAAGGAGTGATTAGCAACACCTAGTACATAATTTAGTAACACACATGACAATGAAACAAGTAGCATCCCATTCCTGCACCTTGTTTGTTGTATGTAATTGTGTTCTATTTGAGCAAATCACACAAACTTCAATTTATCTAGGAATCAAAGAGAAAAATCCTTAGAATTCACAATTTCTCATTGCAGTCTATATAAAGATTTTTATTTGACTTTGCAGGTGAATGAACTCATGAACAGACTACTTCTTTTGAACACGGAAGTTTTAAGAAAGCATTTAGATACACTTCCTTACAAAACAGTTCAATCCCATGGTAAGTTTTTTTCAAATTTARTCTGGATATTTTTGCTTTTTGTCTTGTGAATATCTTTACAAAGAATAATTAAAATCAAAGGTAAACATTGATAACCTTGACAGCATTTGTTATGTTTTAGTATGCACATGCAAGCTTTTCATAAACTATTTAAAAATCTCATTGAAAACAGTACTTTAAATCATTTGCAAATTAATCATTCTACATATTCTATTCATCAACCTGTTGATTTTTATACAAGATACTTAGTATGATCATAAGTGGTCTGATATTTCCAAATACTACTTTCTTTTGTAATAAGTTAAAATGTACCTAGCATTTGCAAAATCCTTTTTAAATGGAGTGGAAATCACCTGTAGGCTGACCTGTCAGTTAATCTTTGCAATGTCCATCTCATTTAAAGGAAATGTTACTGCTAGACAGCCTATTGGCATTAGAAACTGCTTGCTTGAACATGTTTAACAGGGATCTGACTTGGGATCACTTGGAAGCAAAGGGTTTTTATATATACACCTGATGTAAATRCTATTTTTTTTAGACCCAGATATACAGTCTTTATGCTCTATATAGCATCAATTAATATTAGAGAGAACTAACTTTATACCAATTCATATTTATCATTCTTGCTTAATAGAGAGAATTTTTATTTATGAGGTAAATTCGTGAAAAAGTAAGATTATAAAATATTTGTGACAACAAAGTGCAGTTTGAGATCATTCATACATTCCCAATAAAATTCATCCTGTCTGTATTTAACCTGTATTTTCTTAATTTTCTAAATATTTTGATAAAAAAATTCATCAAATACTTTGTTCTCTAGGACTGGATTGCACTGATATTAAAGATACTGTAGGTTCCGTTTCAAAAACTCCAAGTGGTCTGTACATTATCCATCCAGAGGGATCAAATCACCCTTTTGAGGTAATAAAGTTATCTCACCTAATAGCAAAAATTTGCTTRAGAGTATGTATTTTTGTATATTTAAGAGATCTAAAATATTTTCCTTGACTATTTCTCCACAGATGAATGAGTGTATTTTCATCTATATATGTATACTCTTATAATTTTGAAGACTTTAACAGTTTCTATCAGGAAATTTGGAGAAATTAACTAGCATTATAGTCTTTATATATAACAAAGGATGGATCCCTTTATCCCCAGCCAGTTGGATCACTACAAAATACTTAAGAGTTCCATTCTGCAACTCTCTCACACTGTTTCCATAATATAGGGAGTCAGGGGAAAAGATCTATAACTCATCCTTCAAGGTAAAGGAGAAACAAAGACTGATACAAGCATTCACAGAGCAATCACAGTGTGAAGAAATGCTCTCTGCCTCACCTGCAGCTGAACCTTAGTGCAAAATGCATTTGTTTCTGGATCGAGCAGCTTGTCTCTGATAGAGTTGGGCTCTGTTGAGGAAATATTTATACCTCATACAAGTTACTTCTGCTGAGAGATACTCTGACTAATCTCCATGAGAAAAGTTATTTCTTGTTCTACTTCGTCCACATATTCCTTGATCCACTTGGTCCAGACATATCTGAAGTTATAGGGTTCAAAAGTATTTTTGGCACTTTTTCACATTTAAAGTTACTGCCATTGTGTAAAGAACTGGGAACTGGTTATATGAGTGGAAAAGTTTCTTAAAAAGAAACAAATGGAAAAGTCATAATAATTTGATTAAAAACATAGAGTAACAATAAATAATGAGAAGAAACTTCTGCATGCATAAAGGTATTTTTTTCTCTGAGAACTTTTTGGCATTGCCTTTTCAGTTCTGTGTAATATCTGTTAGACAAGAAGTGAGATACTTTTATGCATGCTCAAAGATGTATGTTCCATAAAGAATGTTATTTTAAGAAAACTGTTTAGTGGATATCCTTGTATTTGTTGAAGCATAAAAAAAGAGTAGAAGAAAAACGGTAGATGAAAAAAAGAATTGCAACATTAATACACAAACAATAAATTATAATGCTTTTTAAGGGGTTGATAGCCAAGAGCACTGGAAAAATGGAAACTAACTGAATAACAAGTATCCACAGAGGCAGGACATTGTAGTGGGAGYATAAAACAAAACAGAAAAGGCCGCCAGCATGAAATAATCTATTTCAGTAAGTAAACTGCAAGTAGTAACCTTCCTGCTACATGTAACAACTAAATTTTTAGCCTTTAGAAATATTTACATAAAGGTATTAGATGAATGAAGACATCTATTCAGAAAATTTGATCTTGTCTTCATGTTTTCATGTCTGAAAACTCATGTTTTCAAAAGTGAGCTCAGATTTGGATGCCTAACTTGAGCTAATTTAGGCCTGAATTCCAGGAGCTCTRAGAATATTCACTTTCAGCCAGAGCTTCTCATCAGCTCAGAAAATGAGTCCCAAACAGGCTTCTGAGTGAGCATTCAAACATGAGGCAATTAAAAACGATTTCTTTTCTGGAACACTGAACTGTGATCACTTTCTGATACATTTTTGATGAGTAAACGTAAACCAGTTATTTTCTACAACAGGTCACAGAAAGTAAATTATTGTTTGGAAATTTGCTTATTAATGTACACTAAAGATAGAAAGGGATGAAATATTCACTAGAGACATCTTTGTGCCCATTTCATTTAAATTGTCCCTCGCACACTCACACCCCTTGTGTTTGTGTGACATGGGATATACAGCAAGCTGTAAAGGTAATAAGTGTTTCAGAAAGAAAACCATTGCAAAATTCCCAGCATATAAAAGATTAAGAAACGGCACAGCAACAACTATTCTTACATAACTACTAATATTCTTTCTTGGCTGCTGTAAGTTTAGGTGCAATATCAAAGTAATTGGCTGATAATCTTTCATGTACAGCCAACTTTGATCCTTTCAAGAGATATCAACACTGCCACTGATTTATATGGGATCAGAGCTGGATTTTGTGTCCAAGCCTGCTCTTGTTTTTATTTCTGTTCACACTGAGAAGAACAGCCAAGCATGCAGTCATCTTCTTAACGCAGTGATGAGGCAATGGGATTACTTTTAATGTGTTTTAGGTGTCTGTTTCTATTTATTTTGGAATCATATGTATTTCTTTTTATTCTTGGGTGACTGAAATTACCATGTGATTYTTCTGTAAGTAAAGCCCATCACCTTCAGTTGTTCTTTCATGCACATGATCTTTTCTATCATTCATTCAGACACTTGTGCTGCAAGGGCTGTTSAAAGCATCCATGACATTGAGTTACTTGAGGATCCAGGATTCCCCGGCTTGTGATACATCACATGGCAACTTTGTCCTGGCTGAGGAAATCTCCAACTCAGGCTGACAGGAACATATAAGAAAATAATGCAGCTTCATAGTTCAGTTAGTTTTCTTTAGTCTTTTTTTTTTTTTTTTTTTTTTTTAATTTGAAAGGAGTATTGCCTAGCAAAAGTCTGAATAATTGACTTCATTTTATTTAAAAAGTTTTTTTTATTACAGCTACTTCAAGAATGCTGTAATCTTATGTATGTCCACTTCAGGTTTTGTGTGACATGGATTTTCAAGGAGGCGGATGGACTGTGATTCAAAAAAGAACGGATGGAATCATTGAATTTCAGAGAACATGGTCTGAATATCTGGATGGATTTGGTGACCTCTCTGGTATTACTTTTAAATATTCTAAAGGCTTTTGGATCCAAGGATTCTACTGTCTGTATGTGAGCTACAATCCCATTAAATTGTGTGGGAATTTTAGTATTTCAGAGACTAGAGAGTAAAGCTCCTGTTTCTTAAGAAATGTTTTATTTATACTTAGAGTTTCTTTTTCACCAAATCAATTACTTAATCTCCTCAATGATGATTATTGCCCCAGTGGAATCTTTAGCCATTTCCCAGCCTAAGGCTGTTTCTCACAAGGCATGTTAAAAAGGTTCCAATCTTTTCTTTCTGAAATAATTGAGAAATTATATTGCCCCCTTTTTTTTTTTAGGTTTCAGAAAGCCTTAGTTGGTTTTGATAACATTTGCAAAATATTTTCTTTAAACAACTCAATGCTATTTCACTACAGAGGTTGCAAAGCAAAACCAGAATTATCTCCATAGCTAATAAGAAGATGACTGTGGCATTGTTATTTCACTGCCGTCTTTCATCTAGCGAATCCAAAGACAGTTGCTTTTCCAGAATTTATCTGGGACTGCAATGAGAGCAAACAACTGGTGTAGACATGAGACAGTGCACATGTAAGAATTCTGTCTGTGGATTTTACTAGTGAAGTAGGGAGATCTCTCTTTACCTTCATTAATATCTCAGAGAACTTTGTGCTTGTCAGACAAATTAGATTGAAGTCTGTTCAGGAAATAACATAAGAAAACTACAAAAAACTATTTTCTTTCACAAATTCCCTTTCTAGTAGTTTGTTGACTATACATAATATTTCTGTTGCAGGGGAATTTTGGCTTGGACTGAGGAAGATTTTTCATATAGTAAATCAAAAAGCAACTAGTTTCAGCCTTCATATAGATTTGGAATCTGAAAATGAGAAGCATGCTTATGCATCTTATGATGGATTTTGGATAGAGGATGAAGCATGTTCTTTTAAAATCCATTTAGGGCGTTATTCAGGAAATGCTGGTAAGATCCACCTTCTTAGTATTAAAGATAATTACTCTCTTTCTTAAGGTGAAATAAAAAGCACTCAGAAAGTAGTATTTAATTAAGTATGTTTTAAAAATGACAGTTTCTAATCTGTTTTTTTTCCTCTTTATATGGTATTTATGTGCATAATGAGTGCTTATTCAGGTAAATGATTAGTGAGACTTGTTGGAGGCCTGTAGGCAGCAGTGAGYCCAGTGGTCAGTACTGGGTCCAATCTGAAATTCAATTTATTCCTCAATGGCCTGGATGCAGGGGCAGAGTGCACTTGATGATACAAAACTGAAAAATGTGGCTGATACTCCCTGAAGGCTGTGCTGCCCTTCAGAGGGACCTCAACAGGCTGGAGAGGTGGGCAGARGAGGAACCCCATGAAGTTCATTGAGGTCAAGAACAGCGTCCTGCACCTAGGGAGGAATAATTGCATGCACCAGGACAGGCTGGGGGCTGACCTGCTGCAAAGCAGTTCTGCAGAGAAGGACCCGGGGGTCCTGGTGGACAACAAGCCCTGTGGCCAAGAAAGCTGATGGCATCATGGGTTGCATTAGGAGGAGCATTGCCAGCAGTCAAGGCAGGTGATCYTCCCTCTCTACTCCACCCTGGTGAAGCACACCTGGAATGCTGTGTSCTATGCAAGAGCTACTGCAGCAAGCCCAGTGAAGGACTATGAAGGTGGTGAAGGGAATGAAGCATTTCTCATAGGAGGAAAGGCTGAGAGAGCTGGGCCTGTTCAGCTCRGAGAAGGGAAAAATCAGGGGTGATCTTACAGGAAGCTCTGTCTGAATATAAGGAAAATTGTCTTTCTTGGGCACTGGAATAAGTTGTCAAGACAGGCTGTGGAGTCTCCTTCCTTGAAAATATCCAGAAGCCATCTGGACATGATCCTGGGCAGCACACTGTAGGTGACMCTGCTTGAGTGGGGTTTGGACTAGATGAATCTCTAGAGCTCCGTTTTTCTTTCCTGTATCTTCAACAGATGAGCAACTATTAGGTGATGTTTTGAACAGCCTTTGAGAAATCCTTCCTAGCTTCCTAATAAATTMAGAGAAATTTGCAAAGTATACAATAAGAACTGTATTTTTGTAAAACTAACTCTTTTATCTGTTTTACTTAGGTGATGCATTTAGAGGGTACAAAAAAGAAGATAATCAGAATTCAATGCCTTTCAGCACATTTGATGTTGATAATGATGGATGTAGGCCRATGTGCACTATTAAAGAACAACCTGTAAGAAGCTGCAGTAACTTCAGTGATAAAACAGGATGGTGGTTCAACCAGTGTGGCCTTGCAAATCTTAATGGTATTCATCGCTACACAGGCAGATTTCTTGCAACTGGGATTCACTGGGATACATGGACAATGAACAATAAACCAATCAAAATTAAATCAGTTTCAATGAAAATTCGGAGAACCTTTAATCCATATTTCAATTAGCCTATGGAAATGGAAATATATCTCTTGCAGTTATGTGGGATATTGGGTCAGGGTAACTTTAGTGCCTTTCATTTTCAGTTAAATAGTTCAGTTTTAAAACTTTATTAGCTATTCCCATAACAGATGTTCATTTTGATTATGACACGTCAGCATAGGTGGTATGTAGTGTTCCCACTTGAATGAGAAGGGCAAAAGAATAGAGTTTGGGAACAAGGATGAAGCCTAGAGTGTTTGACAGCTTTTATCCAGCTGCTTCTTATGCTGAAAGCACTTGGAAAAAGTGTAACAAAAATAACACTTGATATCACACTAAAAATGTGAATAATGCTGGCTTTGAACGTGTTTTCTCTAAGCTGTCTGCACATCTGAATTGCCAAGAAATTGCAGAAGTTTAAAAAGTCATATATCTGCTGTTTCTGTCATTATATTTTACATAAATAACTATTCTTTARCTTAATTTTACAGAATGAAAGAATATATTCTTTCTGTACTCCTCAGGCTAGACACACTGGCTTACGTCAGCACATATGTAAGGTTCTGTATATTCTCAGGGCCTGATTTTTAACATGGTGYACACTTACATACAAGAACTATGATCTATTTTGTACTAAGATTTCATAACAAATGTGTTTTTCTCCTTTTTTTTTTTTCTGTATGATTTAGATTTGCCTTTTACACAATTCACTAAAAAGGATCACATTTCCAAAGAAAATATGTAAATATTTCAGATAACCTTTGGAATTCTAATTTTTAGAAAAACAGACCTGATCTTGTGTTCTTCATCCTGATTGCCATTCACTTTGTGAATGTTCATTTAGAAATYGGTAGAAGACTGAACTTAAGACAAATTAAATTTTAATTAAGTACTGCAAATTGTTTGATTTTTTTTCTCAGTAAAAGTGGAATAAAATCAATAAAAATGTGAATGTGGTAAGTACAGTAGTGTTTCTGGAACCAATATCCCTTCTGTAGGAGTTATTCATGGCTATTTCTCTTCTCTGGTTCAGTTTCCATAGATTTACTCTGTAGTAAAGAGGAATTAAATTTGTTTAAAACTCTGTGGATTTCCCTTTTATTGTCTCAGACTTTATATGAGCTTTAGAATAGTAATCATAACTCATCATCAGCTCAGAATTACTGTGTTTTAGAACTTCGTTCTAAAGMTATATAAAACTTCTGAAGGTAGGATAGCAGCTACACCCTCTTTGTGCCTCCTTTCTCCTGGCATATAAAGAGTGCAAMACCTTTCTAATGGCAACATGGACCCAGCAGCCTGGTAAAGGTAGTGGTGAAAGCTTGGATCCTTTTTGGTGCGCCCTGTGCCCTGACAGCCAGGTTCAAACCTTTGGGCAGAACAGTCTGCATGAGGAATCGAGATGCTGAGTGCAGAGCTGGAGACAGCTCACACTGGCAGGGTCCTTCTGAGGTTTTTGGAATCCTTGCTTAAAAATGAAGGGGATAAATGGTGTGCTCACAGATCTTACATGTTTAGTGATCAGTTTTCATTTCTCTTTTAGAATCATAGAATCATAGAATCATAGAATGCCAAAGGTTGGAAGGGACCTCAGAGGTCATCGAGTCCAACCCCCCTGCTCATGCAGGGTCACCTAGAGCACGTGGCACAGGGCTGCATCCAAGCGGGTTTTAAAGATCTCCAAAGAAGGAGACTCCACAACCTCTCTGGGCAGCCTGTTCCAGTGCTTTGTCACCCTCACAGTGAAGAAATGC